GATTTGCACGCACCTATTTCTTGCACCTTGGCAAAAACTGCAGACCACAAATAAAAGGGCACCCAAAAACATAATAACCAAGTATTCAAAGTAACCATTTAAAATGTACTCTTGTGTACAGAGAACAAGCCTTTCTGCCCAGTAAACTAATAGGAATCACTTGTAGTTAAATCTTAAATACATGTATTACAGTGAAACACTGTTGGACAGTGCTCCGTCATCAATCAGTCTGTGTTCTTGAGGACACTATTTTTTGAGATGCTTTCTTTAAGAATAAAGCCCTGTGTTGTAATGAATGTGTGCTAACTAATCCCGCAAGCCATTTGGATATTTTTTATTTGTATCAGTGTCAGAGTTTAGCTTCTGTAAGAAATTTTTGCAGTATTTTATTTGTAGTCTTCATTATTTCAAGTTAAGGACACAAAACTCTTTATGCACCCAGAGTCGGCGCTGGTTCGTTTATATCCCATATTTTGTTAACATGTTACCGTGATTGCTAATTTTCATGACAATTGTTATTGTACCATCAGTGCTTAATGGCAAGGCATCATTATTCAATGCTGGTCAATCAGGCACTAAGACATGTGCAAGACATCAGGCTGAACCCATATAGATGTCGTGCACTCCCCTGCTAATGAATGCAGTTTTGTAAAAAGGTTTAAACACGGTTGGCATCCTTAATGTAAGGTTTGCAAAAGCTTATTCGGGAACTGCTTTGTGTTTATACGGAGCAGATCTAAACATGTCACAAACAGAGTTAGACCCATTGTGTGCGTGCGTGAGTGAAGCTACGGAGAGGAGCGAATCATTTGGGGTTTTGAAATGTGGAAAGGCAGCACAATTTCTGCCATGGCGGGAGTGGGGGGAACTGATTTGCCAGGTACACCAGTGTTTGGTAATGGATGTGGGACTTGATCTCCAAAGCGATGGTCGCCGTGTGCATCCAAGAGGTGATCCCCGACAGTGTCATGCATCAGCTCACAAAGTTGGCACTGGCTTCAGCGCACCGGTGGTCAGGGGTTAGGCACTGTCTCCAGAAGCCAGGAAAGAGGGTCAGGCATTTAGAAAGGAGGAGCAAAAGGAAACTCGACGGGAGTGGGATGCGCTTTGTGTGTTCTTAGTCGATCGAGTTCTTCCCGTGTGCCAGTTAACGTTCCCCTCACATCTGCTTTAGTTACTGTTTCTATGTGGTTTTGCACCCAAATGTTTTGGGCTGCTGTCCATGATAAACTAGATGGAACTTGGTTTGAAAGCTCAGATTTGTCGTCTCTTCTAACTCAAAGTAGAATGAGCCCTTGTGCTCTTAGAGTTTTGAGTATGAAAGGAACAGTAGACATTGGCTGTTAACGAGCTCCAGCGCGCCGGGCTCCAGCAGAACTTGGTGTGAATTCAGTGCCTGAGCTGCATCGACTAAATGGTTAATTCATCTCATATCAACAGCACTATGATTCATAATGTAAACTTGAGGAATCCTTGATGTTTCAGTCACACATTCCTCTTAATTTGGCCATGCATTCTTTTAAAGCTACAGTGTGCTAACTTAATAAAATGCAGCATGCAAATGCACAAGTTTTTGCCTTCAGGCATTTTAGCCATGGATGTTTCAATGGGTGTCTTCTTTCAAGTATATATTCTTTCTTAAATTATTTACCCTGTAAACATGCTTTGCATTTTCAAAGAAGATTCTGGGCTTCCTCATTCACCAGACTTCGTTGAATTTAAGGTGTAATAGAGATAAAAGACTATCATCTGCTTCTTGCGAGCATGTTAGCCTTTGGGATTTTTTTTTAGCGAGTGTTAGGCCCCATTTTCTTCTCCTTTGGTATTATCGCTCCCTCCCCCACTGAAATTCCTTGATGCTTTGCCTAGAGCAATACCCACTGGCAGTGTCTGGCTGTGACAGTACTATAGGCTTCCCTACAGATGGGTCCTGCCAATGCCAACCATTGTTCTACCACTGTGAGCTGGCTTGACTGCCTTGGATCACTCAAAAAAAACCCCTTTCCTCTTGATTTTTTCTTTACTCTGAAGGGTCGCCCTTGCCGGTTGACTCTGAGATGTGAAATGTGCTGACACCCAGAACTTGGGGGCTCCGTCTGAGCAGCGGCTCCCAGACTCGGACTTCAACGCACATGGCGTGCTCAGCCCTCCTCAGGGCTGCCCTGCTGCTACCAAACGGCCCCGTCCTTCTCCTCCTAGCCCCATCCTTCGGGCAGTTTGCTGTTAGTTTAATTTCACTCGCTCACTTGAAAGTAAAACAGTAAAACTCGGTGTTATTCTTTTTTTAAAGATATAAAATTAATCTTTAACTGTGGGCTTGAATATTAAAAGTATATAATGCTTTAGTGTAGGAGTCTGTTGATAACATCCATCCTATTTCATGATTAATTTGTTCCTTTTAATATGATATTCTTTTGCTGCACTGTGCAGACTAATTCAGATTCCTGGAAATTGAACTTTGATATGTATTTCCTAGATTCACACCGTAAGTGAACCTTCAATTAGCAGATACAGGTGGCAGCATGCCTCGCTCGATGTTCTCTCGACAAGGATTTTAGAGACATGGACACTGATTAAATAATCTTGCAATCGGGTGTATACTGCCAGAGTATTAAAAATAAAGCATTTGGAAGATTTGATGCTTTTTTTTTTTATTTTTCTTTAATTTTAAGTCTCAGGCGATGAAATGCTTTTTCAGTGGGCCAGAGATAGGAGGAGTTGATTTAAACACTCAGTATGTTATGTACGCCTTTGCCTAACTATGTGTTAGATTAAGCGAGTTTCACTCACAGTTAATCCTTTGTAAATTAGCATTATGGATGCCTTGGGGCCCACATCCCACAAATAAAATGGTTGTCAAGCCAGCTGCACTGTGTATTACTTAAGGCTGAATGTTTTAAGAGTTTTCATGCTTTTAATCTATTTCACTGCTGAGTTTCAGTTTTGCTGAGTGTCTTTTCAGGAGTGATGAGGGTGAGTGAGTAAATATATATTCTGGTTTTCATGCATTTGCCTGGGCAAATCGTTTGTTATCAGGTGTTTGGCAGAGAATGTCACACCCCGCCACAAAAGAGAAGCTTGTAAGTTCAGGTGTTAAATTGAAGTGCAAACCAACAAGAACCAAAAGCCCTTAATTAGTTTTATTTTGTTAGCCTGCTACACTTTTTTTTTTTTAGAGGGAAAAAAAAAAAAAAGAGTGAGAAACATCCCTCCCTCCTCCTCATCCTTTTGGCAGAGTAAATATTGCCTGTTAAGTTTGAATTAGCTGTCATCGCAAAAGAATTAATGCTGTGGTTGAGCCTTTCTAGTGAGGAAGGGAAAAATAAACGAGACAGATCTTAGTTCAGCTTTAAGTGATAAATGAGGACAAAGCAGCCCATTCATCTCCTGCTAGGAAAGTGGACACAAACACTAAAGCAGTTTTGCGGAAGACGTGTCAGCAAATGTGATCATTTTGTAACCTGTCAGGAGGATAGAGAGCTAGTCCTTTTAGAGTGTCACAGGGGAGGGTGTCTGTCTGATGTGACAGTTTTCATCCATCCATTTACTGCTTTTTCTTTAGGTGGGGGGTAAGCAAGGAGAGAGCTGGAGTTGGTTAAAACTGCATTTTTCTTTACACTTTCCAATATAATTTATATGTATATCCACCCGCGTCCAAATGAAAAACATTTACCAAGGAAAACTCCCCTCTGCTCTCTAGAGTTTCTTCTCTCTTTCGCTGCGTGAAATATGCTCATTTTAACGCATTACATTCCCTGTCTTCAAGTTGGAGCCTTGTACTTGGTTTGATGTTTCACAAAACACACTTTTACCTCTTCTTACCATTGTTTGGGTGGTGAAGGCTCTGTTTTGTTTTGTTTTCTTTATTTTTCTTTTCTTTTATTTTCTTTTGCAGAAGCATGAGAAAAAATAAAATAAAAATAAATATAACTTAGGGTTCTTTTGTTGGTTGCGTTTGGGGTTTTTTTTGCTATACCTCTCAAATTTGGATGATATGCTTCATGTACAAATATGTTTTGCAAAAGTTCTTGTTTCATGAAGAGCCTCCGAAAATATTCTTTCTCCTCTGTGAGAATCGAATAACGAATGCTGAATTCTTACAATCCAGAATCCTCCCATAAAATGCCTCAAATTCTACTGTTTGTTGATTTATCCATTTTAATTGAACTATTGATTTCAGGCAAAATTGGAAGCAGGGTGGTGTCTGATTTTAGATGCAGGGATTTTTCCCCAACAAATGATTGAACAATATTAGGACTTTCGACTTCTGGCATCTTTTTGTGATTACTAATTTCCATTTTTTTCATACTACATAGAAAATGTAACATTTGCCTATTACCATAAGTAAAGGTATGCTACAGAGACAGGAGATGCTTTTACAACATAAGCTTCACAGTTTGACACTTGCTTCTTTATATCATCCTTTTCTTCAAAACTATCTTTTATACTTTTCCCTTGGTATTTTAGTACAAGTAAGTATCTCATTGACATGTGTTTCCTTGAAATCTTGTACCTTAATAGTAAAATCCCTTGAAAATTAATAAATTGTTTCTTTTCCGATTAAAAAAAAGCTGTGAAGATTTCAGAATGGCTGAAAAAATATAATGATATTTACTGTTACAGACCACCCTGCTTGGATTGCATCGACTGAGGGCTAATTATTTCATTTGTTCTTAAAAGGTTAATAAATTGTAACATGGTGTATTTCAGTTATTCTAATGTGTATATAAGTGTATGCATCGTTAAGAATAGCCTAATTCTTTCCTGAATGCAATAGTTGGATTTAATAGCTACATAAAGAAATGTTTGGAAGCACTGGAAATTGAAAGAAGTAAAAAACAATCGAGACACACAGAATGGTGTAGAAAATCCTAAATTTGTGGGCGTATGTCTTTTCTCCAAGATATTTATCTGTGTGCTTCTTTTTATGATTTTTATATATATTCTGCTATTTTGTTGTATTTACTGGGGGTTTTTTTGTCTCTTCTGCTTTTTTCTAGGATCATCCAAAACCGGATTTTGATCGTTGTTCTGGCAGTCATCATCATCTTCACCACCATGATGGCTATTTATTTTTCTGTCAGGGGACGCTGATATCTTTGTTCTTCACTAAACAGCAACAAACTGCTTGTTCTGAGTAATTAAGACAAAGTGGTCACATGAATCATTCTCTTGCACTGACAGAGTATCCCTCTCTTTTCCACTATTCAACTCAGGTGCAAGTGGTGTAAAATATTTTGTATTATGGATGGCATAGTTGATGGCATGTGGGGTTGATTATTTTTTCTTAAATTTTTTTTGTCTTTATCTGAGTGTTTTTGGAATCTTACTATTTGTTGGGGTGAGGGCTTGTTCCAGTATGGAAAGACTTAACATGTGTCGAATTCCACCCCATACAATTAGCCTGTAAGTTGCCAGAGTTTAGGGAGGGAAGAGGGGTCTTTGCACTTTTCTCGTGCTATGTGGGGTGTATGAATACCAAGCAGTATCTGACCTTCTGTGATATACAATATAAGTAAAGCAGAGACCAAATGATGTAGAAAGTGAACCTGTCTCCTGTGACTAACTCCCGCGATCATGAATTATCGTAATAGACGGAACCTGGTTAAGAACAGTAGTTAGTTTTAAAAAGAGAGCAACCTTAGGATGACGTTTAATATCTGATGTGAATCCAACACTCTCTTTAATGATTTTTTTTTTTAAATTAGGCTTGGTTTTCTGCTTATTCAAAACAATTCCACTTTCATCAAGATCATGATAGTGCGTCGCCTCCCCAAAATGTAGTTGTGACCGCAGCCCGTCTGTTGGATCTGTTTTAAATCTTCCAATGTTGATGTATGTACTGATAAGCATACACACTAGGCCCGTCTTGAAGATGTATAAAGATACTTATCTATTCATCGCTGATTGAAAAGAGCCCTTAAGTAATAGTTCAGTGACAAATATGTGATTACAGCGCATTAAACAAAAAAATCTAGATTTTTAATATTCGCCTGACTACGTTGAGACCGCATGTTGGAAATATTTTTAGTGTATTAAATTCTGATGTGATATTCCCCTTTTTAAACTGAAACTGTAAAAATGTTTATTTATACATGCTTTTAGCTGATCTAATATATCATACTTTCATCTACCTGTGTGTAAATGAGCTGTGTTTCTCTTTTTCTATTGGCTGTGCCTCTCCTATAGGCAGGTCTAGGTCTAGGTCATTTGGCCTATAATTAAGCTTACAACTCCAGCACAGGTCTATTTCTGGTGATACAGTAAAGTAATTTTCATGATAACTTTTCAATTCATTATATGGAAACCCTTACAAATATTACAAATTGACAGGGATTTTAAGTCTTTGAACCTAAGCTGTAAAATCTTTTCAGAAAGATGTTCAAAGAAACAAAAAGCTGGTGGCTTTCCAACTGCCCCCAGATTGGGTAGGAACCGAGCACCAAATTCTTGTGTGTGCCTTAGTACTTTTGGGGTTTTGGCATCCCTGTGGTCGCTGCTGATTTGCTGTGCTGACCCTGGGAGGTGATACTGGGATAAACATCTGGAAGTGGATTTTGGCCCTAAATATGTCCCCTGTTTTCTCTGCATGGAAAGCAGTAACTCAGCTAAAAGGATGTTGGTACTGATGCCATAGCTAAGACACGGAAAGATGGTGATAAATGCAGAATAAAAGGATCCACAAGAAAAATTATACTTATTGAAACAAATGGAAATGATGTGAATTGGTTCACAGATGGTCAGCTGTGGTTTCTGAGTTACATGCGGCTCACAACTCAGTTCAGAAGTGGTTTCTGTGCCGGGTTTCTCTACCTGCTCATGTCCGCGCCTGTAGGGTTGTGCTGGTGCAAAAGTTCCTGGGTAATCCAAACCCACGTTTTTGGGAGGTGCTGCTCTGTGCAGCTCCTCACCTTGATGGCCCCACGCTGCCAGGGGGCCATGGGACCTCCCCTCGCCGCCTCCTGGGGCACCCTCTCCTTTCCCCCTTGCGAGGTGTGCGGCATTTATCACGCAGCTCTCGGGCACGGGAAGATTTGGGTGTTCGGCTTCTTGCAGCGTGGAGGCTGGCTGGCCTTCAGTCACAACGTGCGCTCAAATTAAGCGCTTCGGGTTGTGTAAGCAGAGCTCTGGCCATTAGCTTCAAGTGATGGCACTGAGCTGAGTTGGGGCAAATTAGGAAGAAGCCTGGCAGCGTTAGAAGGTATTTATCCGCTCCTAAGCAAATTAGGAGATGCATATTTTGTAAAGCAGAAAAGTGTCAAGAAGGAAATCTTAAGCTCCGTCTGTTGCCTAGACATTCTCCGCGTTGCCTCAATAATTTAACTATCATGGGGATTGATTCATGACTACTGATCTTAACAGTGACCTATGACTAGGTTTTGCCCTCTATCTAGCCACCTGCTGGAATCAGCAAAAAGCTGAAAGGAAGCTAGTTTTCCTTATCCCAGTATAAATCTAGGGCATAGTGTCACATCAGATACATCCACTCAGATGGGAATG